CTCGCGCGGCTCTCCAGCGGCGCCGCGGCCCCGCCCGTGCTCGTGGCCGTGCCCAGGGTAAGTGTCCCCCGCAGGCGAGGCGGGAACGGCCGCCGCCGGAGCCCTTGGGAAGCAGCAGGTCTGTTGGAGGACACGTGCTGCCCTGTGGTCAGGCCCTTTGCGGGGGTTTGGAGAACACAGCCGCTCCTTTCTCTTCTGTAGAAGAAGTGTTGGGCTCAAAGACCTCACCACTGTTTTCTCCAAGAGCCTTCTGTAAACCTGCCCTCACTTCTCTCCACAGTGTGTGAAAGGAGGCAGGTAATGATCCCCAAAAGCACATGCTCATCATACCATGCTTAGGAGGGGACGGTACCTTTCAGAAAATAATTGTTACCCCTTTTCCAGGCTATGAAACCAGGGTCAGGGCTAAGCAAGTGTTCCCCTCAGAAAGCTCACGCATACTGGTATGGTGTGTGGTTGTGCTGAGGGTGCCTGTTTCATGCAGCAGACATTTAACAGACCTTTTAAACTGGTTTAAAGTCTTCTCTGACTGAGCAGTTCTGGTTTTGAAAGCATAAATAGCTCTTACTGGGAGGAGTAGGACAGATGATTTTCCCAGGGATAGAGTTATATAGTTTCTCTTACAGTCAGACTATAGTCATTTCTGCGTATTGACTCTTAGTAGCCCCCTGGAACGTAAGTTTCTTAGCACTGATTTATTTTCAGAAACTGCTACTGTTATGGTGCCTACGTTAAGAGTAGAAATGTTGAGTAGAAATATTGATGGGTGGGTGCTGGGATGGATGCACCAATGACCAACAAGATCCAGGTGCAGGAAATACTTCTTCCTGCAGAGTTAGTGGCTTCTCTCAGGGGCATTCCAAATGAACTGCAATATATAAAATAATTGTAGAATGTTTGGAGAAGCTTGTTTATCAAGTTAATGTCTTTCAACTTTTTTTTTACAGGAAAATAAGAAGAGAAAGCACACAGAAGAAGCTGAGAAGAAATCAGAAGATCATAAATCATCTACCAGTCAAGAACCTCCTGTAAAACTGAAGAAGGCCAAAAAGAAGGAACTTTCAGAAGCAGAGAAAAGACTGGCAAACAGGTGAGTAAATTATAGTTTTATGATAAGATCAAAAAACATATAATCCCAGATAGATTAATTGTAAGATTATGACCTTAGAGGAGCAATAAAGTTCAATTCTACTATTCACTTTAACTTTGTGTTTTAGGAGGGGGGTTGTTCTATCGGTAGCTTCCTGTAATTTGCCTTAACAGGTAGTAAATAACTACTTGAGAGAGATAGGTCTGGCTTCATGAAATAATAAAATCTCTGTTAAAGACATAATATATGGTTTATTCTGAATTCTTTCTTTATTATACCTGCCAAAACCAAATGTAAGGGCACTAAGATAGCAAATAATTGTCTTTTTCTATTGCAGAATGATCAAATTTGTTTGTTTAATATATAGTGATCAGGGAAAAATAATGTTTGAATTTTTTTTCTTGAATATCTTCATTTAAGATGTAAATTAAAATATTTATCTTGCAGGCTTTATTTCTTTGACTTCAAAAGCCCTCTTTTTTTCCCCCCATTCAATTGTAACTTGTATATATTTTTCTGAAAAGGGAGTGTGCTTTGGAGCAGGCAGATGAAGAAGAGGAGCTAAAAAAGTTCCAAAGCAAAGAGAAGCAAAAAACTCGAACTTCTCGTATCACCACCAGAAATGTTGTTAATTCAGATACAGGTATTACGGTAAAACAAAAAAAGAGAAGAAATGAGGCTGAGGAAACAATAAAAAACAGAAGGACATTGTTTGTCGGAAATTTACCTGTCAACTGTACTGCTCAGGTATGTGAGTGAAGGCTGTCAGCCAAAGAAATGAAAACAATTATGGCAATCCTTTGTTTAAAGAGACATCTCCAGTTGAAAAATCACGTAGATGTGAATAAAATTGCTTTCTTGTGAAAGCAGGAAATAATGTTCATTGTAAGAAACGGTTAGAGGCAATCTCTATTTTTTCTTTTAATTTGAGGTTGGTTGTTTACAGCAGTGGATGTAGTTGCTCTTTCTTCAGTAAAATTGGTTAAAGACAAGTAGTAGTACAAAGCTGGAATCTGCATTTGATTTTGAATCCAAATGCTACTTCAATTTTTTTCATAAACTAATTTAAGTTTATTATATCTTTTGCATGGGATTTATATAGGTTTATATAGTTTTTTATATTGAGTTCAGGTGTCTGAATTCAATTGTAGCAATCAACAGGATAAGAAGCATAAATATCATTATAAATTGCTTGTGTATGTGTTAATAGTCCTTTCAACATTATAAGTTATTGTCAAAGACATGTAAAAGTTAGCGTCCTACTTCCTATGAGTAGAATGAAAGTTATAGAAAGCTTACTAGTAGTTCGACAGTAACAGTTCTTGTTTACAGGATGAAAAAAAGTATTCATTATCTCAAATCTTTTCTGCTTAGATGCTGAAGTCTCTTTTTAAAGAGTACGGACAAATAGAATCCATTCGATTCCGTTCTGTGGTATGTTCTTTCCTTTAATGAAATGTGTTTTCTCACCTTAAAATGTAGTTTTCAGAAAGCTTGTATCTTTATCTGTTCATAAACGGATTTCGTTGGTTGTTTATCCCCCCTTATTCCCAACACTCCCCTTTAGTCTTGGAGAATTTATCAACGATGGCAGATACATCTTTCCTTTCATTACACTTTTTTTCTGTAATAGCAGTTTGTATACTCAAAAGTTGTATTTTCTCTGTGCGAAGAATGCCTTTATTGCGGCTTTTTTTTTACTTACGCTATTATTCAGCTGGTTTAAAATAACAGTAGCAAGAACATACTATTTGCAAATCAGTGAAATGTGTTAAATAGCCAAAAAAAATCTTAGAATTCAAGAAACAGAAGAGTAAGCCAAAGCAACCTAGCGAATTTTGTGGTCTTCCTAGGTCGTACATAGGAATAGCTATTTACTCGGTGCATTGGCTGTGTTATTCTGATTGGGAACAGTACTTGTTTGAATGCCTCTCAATTTGTCTTCAAGAACAAATAATATGAGCTAGATGGACCTAAGAACCTGTTAACGAAAGCTCTGTTTATCTTATAGGTTCCAGCCGAAGATACTTTATCCAAAAAGTTAGCAGCAATAAAGTAGGTTCCAGTTGTGACTTTCATGCTTTATTTTTCAAGGCAAAAATAATCTTAAGTGTTTATCGTTATGCATTTGACCATATCCTTTCTTTTTTTTCCCTTTTTGCCCTCTTTCCTCCACCCACTCTTCCCTCCTCTTCCCTCCTCTTTTTTTTTTTTTTTTCTTTTTTTACTTTTGTAATTTTTTTTTTTTGTAGGGGTTTTTTCATGACAGGAAAAAAAGAATAATGTTTATTATAGTAGTAAGAAATTAGATAAGTAAGTTACATCTGTTATATTTTAGGAAAGAGAAAGAAAGTGCTAAAAATTCTTGAATTCTTTTGGTTGTGTATATGGGCTGGAGAAACTTGATCAGGATGCATATACAGATGGCGTAAGACGTACAAGTAAAACTGTTAGATATGGGAGACTAATTCTGCCTTTTAGGAAGTGAAATTGTTACTATGTGTGAAATATAGGAGACATAAATGTGTGTAATAAGAAGTGTGTGTGCACTGTGCGTGCTTTGTCTGTGAATTATTTAAAAAATAAGCATATTTTCCCTCTCTTCCAGGCGCAAAGTACACCCTAACATGAAGTACATCAATGCTTATGTTGTTTTTAAGGAAGAATGCGATGCCATTAAGGCTCTAAAAAAGTAAATTTTGGTTTTATTCTTTAACGTCTGGTAAACAGAAGGATTTACAAATGTGTTAAAAGATAGATTTAAATTGCCTCCCTTTTTTTTTTTCCTTTTGCTACAAAAGAAATGGAACAGAAATTGCTAGTGGATTTCACATCAGAGTTGACCTTGCATCAGAAAACAGTTCAGTAAGTAACATACTTGACTTGAAAAATACCTTTTTTTTTTTCTGTAACAACTTACTGTTTTGTATTTCTTCTTTGTTTTGTTTAGCATGACAATAAGCGATCTATATTCTTGGGAAATCTCTCATATGGTAAGTCTAAAATGGATAATTACATGTGCCATATCCCTCTTTGAATAGGGTTAACATTAGGACTTTTTTTCAATCTGTTGTTTATAGAACATGTTTAGGTAGCTAAACATCTTTTGTATTAGGAATTGCAGGAATTAAATTTTAAAATAGCTCATCTAGTTTCAAAATGAAAACCTGAAGGAGTTACAAGTTTCTGACAAATTCTGCAGGTGAATTGTTTTCTTGAGCTATTATTGCTAGAAAAACAAGCATATTTTTTTTTACTTGATTTTTTTTTTTAAATAAAGGTGACTAAACTGCTTAGGCCATAGATTTCCCCAACTGGCAAACGTACACTGGTATTTGTGTGTGAACCACTTCTTTGTGATACACAGTGGCAGCTTCTGATTTTGAGCCACAGAGCGAGCAACTCTGTGCAGGCAATAGGTCGTAACTGTGTGTAGGTGCTTCCCACTGTGCAGTTGAGAGCAGTGCTCCATGAACATTCAGCTCCCTTCGGAGTGCAGCGTACGTGAAGGGATCGCTGTCAGGTGGAGTCCGTATGAAAGGTGCTAATGGAGTCAGGTTGTTTGAGATGAACATACAGAATATACAGATGAGAGAATAACCTGTATTTTGGTATTGGTACCTCATGTTTGTCTTTCTGAGAGCATAAAGGCCTCACACATGTGGCCTTTATCAAGATAGAGGTATAGTACCTGTGAGTAAAAGCTGTAAATCTCTTCTCCCCCATTCAGCTAAAAATCACATTTCAGTTAATGAGCTGTAGACCTTAAGAAATGCCAGCTCAGTCTTGTCCTTGTCAGTGTTGATTCCCGGAAATAGGTTCTGGTGTAAGAAGGAGCTATAAAAATGTAGCACAAATATTAATTTCTGCCCTGTTCAAATGATAAATTATTTGAAAAAATATCAGTCTCCTTTGTGATTTGGTTTTATTATACTCTTCAGAACTTGGAGAATCAGTAACTGTCAAAATAAATAGAATTAAGTCTACATTGACGACTTAATGGTATTTTGCTGAAAGACTAGATATATTTGTGTATCTATAATGCATAAATATAAAGTGTTTGGTAAGGCAAACGATTTTGGTCATACTTCTGATTGAAGAATCATCTGTTTTATTGCTCTTGCCTTTAGACATCAGCGACGACTCTGTGCGAGAACACTTTGCTGACTGTGGAGATATCGTAGCAGTGCGAATTGTGAGAGACAGACAGACAGGCATGGGCAAAGGGTTTGGCTACATTCTCTTTGAGGTACGGGTAAATGCCTTGTTTCAGAACACTGGTCGTTTTCTGCAAGCTGCATTGAGATTTTCCTTCATGTCTTGTTTATTTTTTGCCTTTATATATGGCACTAAACAGTAAATTTTTTTGTATAAGTAGCTTGGAAGACCAGCTTTGTGGAAGCAGATAACAAGTAAACTATTTTAGGCTGTGTGCAAGGAGAAGCTGCAAAATGTTGGAAATGAAATAAACACATTTTATTAGAGATTTAATGGAGGGAAAGATGATGAATTCAGTTGGCATAGTTTTTATCTGTTTCTGTATAACAGGAATTCTTTTCAATAGCCAGTTATTTTATTAGCTCACCCTGAATCAGATGCAGTATAACTTGCTTTCCCTCGGTAGTCTTCCCAGTGTGATCCTCCTGAGCGTTTTCTCCAGCCAAATATCATTCTTCCAGCCCCTGTTTTTTCTCTCTCATCTCTCTGCCTCTTTCTGTGACGCTCTGTGTAGGCTGTTTGAGAACTTTCAAGTATGTGTGCGTCAGATGCCTGAGGTGTGAATTATATAGGTTTGATCATATTCCTGAGCATAGCAGAGATGTGTCATTCAATAAAGCAAGCAGTCTGGTGCTATTGTAAAATTCTCTTTGCGCAAAAAAAAAAAAAAAAAGACAATTTTATTTGAAACTCAGCAATTGGAAATGCAATACCTTTAAACTGAATGTCTGTTTTTGCAGAATACAGATGCTGTACATCTTGCTCTGAAACTCAACAACTCTGATCTTATGGGAAGAAAGGTGCGAGTGAAGCGCTGTGTCGAGAAGGGGAAAGCACAGCAACAAAATCCAAATCAGTCTCGTGGACATAAGGACAAAGTTGATACCCCGTCAAAACCCAAAAGATACTCCAGTGATTCATTTGTAGGTGAGAAAGCAACTCCACTGAAAAAGAACACGAAAACAAAGAGACTAAGAAGCATTACTAAAAAGAAAACTGGGAAAAACAAATAGCTTTTGACAGTACTAACTGAAATATGTAAAAATGTTGGTTATTTTTAATAAAATGTTTGAATACAAGTGTGTTCTGTCATAAATTTTTCCTTGCTACTATAGTTGTAATTGCCCTTAGTGTTCACGATAGCTGTTGTCTTTGGGGTGTCTCTTCAGTGGTTCATTTCTCTCAGAAAGCATTGCAATACAATGTGTAAGTCTGTATCCCAATCATAGTATAGAGATTGCATGATTTTAATACTATGTTCCAGGACTGCATTTCCATCTGGTATCTCACAGCAGAGGTTAATAGGATTATTTTCTTTGGGATTTTGGGGGTAAAATAACTCAAAATTAATACTGAAGTAGTCATAACATTAATTTTGGACTGTGAAAACTAAACTAAAAAGGAATTTTTGATTTATGAGTGGAAAATATAAAGTTGCTAAATGTATTAATAGAAGTTTAATGGATTAATATCTGGTTGTCCTTTTGTAGCTATGTTTAAAAAGTGAATTCTTTATTTGGTATTTTTTACTAAAGTTTTAAATGGTATTTCTTCTCGTAGTGGGAAATTTTAGAATAACAGAACTGGTTTTATTGCTATGCATAATGTGGTTTTAGTACCTGATTACATTTCTGTAACAGACCAGTCACTGGGAATTCAGAAAGACCTTTAAGGAATTAATATTTGTGCTTTAAGTGCTAGTGTAATCTAGCTCAGGTTCTGTCACTCTGCAGCATAAATCAACTCTGACCTTGTTAAACCGGTACTAATGCCTGATGTCTGGAATGTGAGCTGTCACCTGCTTTGTATCGTAAGAGAGATTGTTGACAGATCTGGGCCCCTTTTTACTACTTGTTTTGAAGGTTCTGTGGCCCTGATCTGCCTCATCTTTGTGAGCTGGGGAATTAGTGTAACTGCACAAACACTTAGGGCTGGACCTAAAACATACAACTAAA